ACCTCCACCGCAGCAACTTCTTACTTGACACATCCCCAAAAGCAAGGGAATCAAGAGCAAAAATAAACTGTTGGGACCTCATCAAGATTAAAAGCTTCTGCACAGCCAAGGAAACAACCCAGAAAACTAATAGGCAACCAACGGAATGGGAAAAGATAGTTGCAAATGACATATCAGATAAAGGGTTAATATCCAGAATCTATAAGGAACTCACCAAACTTCACACCCAAAAAACAAACAACCCAGTGAAGAAATGGACAGAAGACATGAACAGACACTTCTCCAAAGAGGACATCCAGATGGCCAACAGACACATGAAACGATGCTCAGCATCCCTCCTCATCAGGGAAATACAGATCTATTTTTTTTTTCAACATATTTGCATAGATTTATAATACAGGCACTTAGAATTTTTTAATTTCCTCTGTATTGGTGGCTGTTCCTCAGTTTTTCATTTCTAACTGTGTATTTCTCCTTTCTTCTGTTTTTATTGATTTGGCTCACCAAGGATTTTGTTTTTGTATTTTCAAACACCCTTAGATTTATTCATCGGTTTGGGGAACTGGCTGAAGTCTCTATTGGCTTTGTGCTGACCTGACCCATCCTGGGACAGCTTGCACACTGTACAAGGGGAACCATGATTTGAGAGGAGCTGCCATCCTCGCTGGCTCTCAGGCGCAGGATAGTAGCTTCACTTGGCAGTAGGAGTCAGAGGGTCAAACCAGGCCAGGCAGCACAGATATGTCAGACATGACTAGTTATTGTATTGATGTGATGGACACAGCTACTTGGAGAACAGACCAACCTAAAGCGCTAATTAACCAGAAGCCATCTTGAGGCACATGCTTCTGGAAGTAACTCTTTCTACATAATTTAATATTCTCTCATTACTACATTCTTTCTGCTCCAAAGCCTCCTGCAATCTTTCCTACACTTGACCTCACTGCTCTTGGCTCCTTTTCTAATTACCACTTACTTCATTTGCATATGGGTTTTATTTTCTGATATCAGAGCTTATTATATTATGGGTAGGAGGTCCTGATGTCTCACACATGGAGTGGGGGAGGTACTCTCCACAGTTTCAGTCTTTTTGAACTCTTGTGGTCAAACATCATTGTGTCTTGAGCACACCCCAATTTAGGAATCACAGGATTGCAATCTTGTGCCACAATTCTTCCCAGTTCTCCAGACTTTTTGGTCTGACTCTCCAATGTCAAATTTAAAATTATACACACTCCTAATTTTTTTTTTCCAAAAACCTTGTTATCAGTCCCACTTTTGTTGTGTTGGATTTTTATGAATTTACCATCTAACAAACACTGCCCATAAACAAATTCTACTGGTTTATACTTCTTAAATTTATGCTTTTATTTTTAAATTTTCAGTTCTTTTCCTCTACTCTTATTTTTTATATGTAAGATTTATTTTTAGAGCAGTTTTAAGTATATAAAACTTGGGGAAGCTTCAGAGAGTTACCATATACCCCCCATCTACAAGCATGCATAACCTCTTCCGTTATCAACATCCTCCACGAGATTGGCACCTTTGTTATAATCAATGATGATACATTGTCACAACATAACCACCAGAAGTTCATAGTTTAAAGTTCACTCTTCACATTACACAATCTATGGGCTTGGACATATA